AACTGCGCGGGGGACCTAAGGTCCTAGTTCAGCGTACGTTTTATCCTTCTGCGTACAGCATGGGCGACGCCATGTTCCACTAAAGGGCAGATAACTCATATCGGACCGTTCTACCTCAGTTTCGTATTTGAGAAATTTTTCCTGTGTATCACCGGGGTAAAAAAAATAATCATGGTACAATTTTTGTTTAGGTATCAACTCCCCAAATAATAAGTTAAAACAGGCTTTAAGAACCTTTTCAGTTGACCTTTAAAGCACTTGGAAATTGCTGAAAAAAGCATTTTGTCGTTTTTTTGTGTATAAACATATCCCCCCCCCCCTGGGTACAGAAATCAGATGCTTGTCGACTATCAGTATCATGTTGAACATGACTGTTCTTTATATCATCCATGTAAGTCCCGTATCGTGAACACGTTGAAATTGCGTGAAAATACATGTGTATGGGATAACTAATTCTCAAAATATACTGATCACTAGCTGATTGACTCTCCACTGTTACTCTTCACAGCATAGTCGCCGATAAGCGACCGTGTTTGTCTAGAAGAGTCTGAATTATCTCGATGCATATGCATGCGAGGTGCATGGCAGTTGTAGTATAAACACACTCAATTAACTATTCAGGTCATTAAAAAGGTTTTAAGGAGATACACAACGTACCTTACCTACTGATAGATTTCCAAGATATTCCAAATTTAAACTTATAATTTAATTACATGTTCATAGACAAAAAATCAGCATGCCTCACCAGAGGTTTTGAAAAGATATAAAATTTTGAAAATTTTTGCATTATTCAAATAAAAATGTACAAAAATTAGAAAACATAAATTTCAGATTTTTTTCTTCAAAAATTGTTTTATAAAATGTGTACAAATCCATTTATTGCTAGCGCTCTCGAGCGCTAGCAACTACGTTAGTCCAAATTCCTTGAATACGCATGCTCGGCTTCATTCTGGGAAAACTGTGAGAACTACTATAGATAGACCGTACCATATCAATTTCGTTGTATCATGTTGTAGCATTAAATAACTATGTTTATTTATTGTGTAGCTTATACTTTAAAGATAACTACATACTTAAAATTTTCCGGGTTTTTTTTCTGACGGAAAAGCCCGAGTCATTATCTGATTGTTCTAAACAAAGACAAGGGAGGTTTTTTACGTCTAAGTACAACCAAATATAGACTCTAATTTCTGATTGGTCAATAAAGCCAATCTAACAAATTCCAGAAAGAATTTACACTAAAAATAACGAATAAATCCAATTATTTAAAAAAAATCTGATGCGTATGGCATTTAACCTAACATTACTTGACAAAGATGACCTAAGGGACCAAGCTACTTCACATCTTCACATTCGGAACTCTCTGGATTTCTTTATACAACATACACTTTAAGTTATTTTGTATATTAATTTTAACTCCCCTGTATTTTCTTAATTGTTACATTGTCAAGAAATTCTATTCTTAAACCAGCTCATACAATGCCTTAATCGGGATCTTCTCCATATTATATAGAGCCCCACCCTCTCTAGTAAAGATCATAAATGTTCCGTTGCGCCAAAACACCGATTGTTTAACACAACCCCTACTCCCCCCCCCCCCTCGATTCTAAAAACCTTTGTGTCTCGAAAATACACTTCATAAAACAATCATAACTTTATCAGTACGATTTTCCAGACTCGATAAAAATTAAAGAATTCAGCAAAATAAATCACTTGATCACGTATCCTCCTTTCTGTGTTTAAAAATTGCTACGGCGCTAGCTCACCTATCTTTTTTTAAAAGATAAGCTTGTAGACATTAAAAATACTGCACACAGATCCTTCATTTAGTGGAACTCTTCAACTCCAGGGGAGAACCCAAAAAAGTTCAAACTACGTTGCGTATGACCTTAATACTGAAATGCAATAAAAATTTAATCATGGCGCCCGCCGATTTTAACCATGGCTCAGATCGTTTAACCATTTCGCACATATATTTAACATGCCGGGCCGCCACGGTAAAATTCCTTTTGAAGAATCCTGTCCACTGAAAAAGTCAGAGCTTTTCGCAAACGTCCAATATTTGACTATCACCTGCTTGTACTAGTGTTCATGTCTCCAAGCATATTAGATATTCAAGATATTGCTCCAGGTACAATTAATTTTTAAAGCCTGGTAAAACAGGAATTTCAACAACCTCATGTTATTTCTTCATTTTGTTTATTCTTTTGTATATTGGCCTTGTTGATAAATATAATCTCTCATTTTGTCAAAATTTTACTGACTCGTTTAATGCCAATTGACTGTGGAATGTTCAGTCTACATTAGCAATGCACAGACGTCAATGCAAATGTATCCGGTCAATAGGGAATGCTTGCACATCCTGAGCACCTGATCCCGCCTCTGTTCTTTCCAGGTTTCTGTGTTGTATACCATCTTCACTTGTTTTGTTTATGTATCTTTTCAAATCGAACACTGTCCGTTGTCTTTAATTTTTTATGCTAGTTAATGGGTCTCTATATTTTTAAGAATTTTTTTTCAAGATACTTTGGCTACTTTTACAATCGTGAATTACATGAAGTTGCAATATTTTGTTTTTAGCTTTTTGATATTGTAACAGGGTAGCTGTCCCACTACAAAATTTACTGTGTAGGAACAGCAGTTAATGACCATCCTATATCAAAATAATTGAGCTTTGAATTACAAATTAGATTTAGTTATAGAAAACTTCTGTCAAGATGGTTCAAATTATTTGTTTTAGTAATACCCAACCAAGCACACGACATTGAAAAATACTTTGAATCAACGTTGGTTATATGTTTTTTCAATGTTTTATTCATCTTAGATTAAAAAAAATAAGTTCAGCGTTGAAATCTTAACGTTGATTCAATGTTGAAAATCAATGTTGATGAGACATTGAATAAAAGCTTATTCAAATTTGTTGTTTTTTTTTCGTTTTTTTTTCCGGGAGGGTGGATTACTTACTTAAAATTTTAACCGTTTTATTACAGGTTAATAAGATGCCTTCATACTAGTACAAAGGAAAGCATACAGTATAAGAAAAAAATCTATATATTGTAAACATTCATTTAACTTCCTTTCAATAGATGTGTTACAATAAATTTCACCAAAATACCTTTTCTAAATTAATCATGTTACAACACCTGGGCATTTACAAACGTTTTGTATTTTAACATGTGGTAAAAAAAATAGTCTAGAACATGAAATCATTCCAAGATATGATGTAAATCTTATACGGTACCACTTTTGATGTACCAGATACGCATATCGACAAATTATGTCTCTTCAGCGATACTCTGACATGCCGAAACGTTTCCTTTAAAGAGTACATTTTAATTAAATCTTGGTGTAAGAGTCCTGAGGGTGGTGTTGATCTCCTTATTAGTATTCTGTAACGGATTATGCAAAACTTGGTTAGTATTGGTTGGATGTTTAAATAGTAATAAACATTGTCTACGACTTTTTGGGACAACCCTCGTAACAGTGACTGTTATGCTGTCTTTTTGAATATTATCCGGATGTCCTACTGCGCATGCTCTTAATTCGCACTTTGGAAAATTCGTGCTGAATTCATATTTATTATGCATTGAATTTGATATACGGTAGTGCGACTTTGTCAAGTCCGACCTCGTTATGGTCCGACAGTTTTACAGTCGACTTGTCGACACTATTATAGTCCGAATTATCTATCAGCGAAAAATAGGGTTGGACCGCTCGGCGAAGATCTGACATTAAATCCCTGTTGGCTCAAATTGAATTAAATGTTGAATCAACGTTACATTTTCAACGTTGCATCAATTTTGTATCTAGATTCATTAACGTCTAAACCCAACTACAATCAATATTCAACGTTTAAACAACGTTGTGTGCCTGCTGGGACTATCTTATTCAGAGAAAAAAATTAAAGTGATATTAATTCTTTTGATCTTCATAAAATTCAAATAAATTTACTCAAGCTTAAGATTTATCTTCAAAGATTCAATGAAATTCATCAGAATCAGCATCAGAGTCCCAAAATTTGCAATTATTAATTTTAATTCATTTTCAGGTGCTAGACTTTTGAACCATTCATATATATATGGCTAAAAACCTATAATATTTTGAATATTAATTGAGATAAACTTGAGATAAATAATAAATTGAAATTCAAATAAGCTCGAATCCTGAAATAATTAAGATATGTGATCTCAAATAACCTCCAAATCTTACAGAAAGAAATGAAAATTTACCAAAATTTAAGAATAATTTAAAATACATTAAAAAACCAAAAGAGGAGGAAAGAAAGATAAAGAAGATTGTTAACTATACCATATATCGTCGCATGGTGTCACAAAAGAAATTGTTTACATGTACATGTAGATACACAAAATATATGAAATAAAAAAAAACCAGAAAATGCAGAAGTGAACAATTCCCCTTTAACTTTACTACTTAACAATAAATATGAGAACATAAAATTTCATAGCTTTCATTTATTCTATAATAATAAATCAATTCTCGCACAGCTTATCTTTTCTGATGATAAAATTGAAGAAAGTACAAAGATACAAATGCAGATCCACAGAAAATTAAAGTAAAATAAATATCCATCTACCGAAAGTAAAAGAACGTAGCTTACAATGCCATATTCATCAGCAAAAATGTTAACAAAAGTAAAAACAGACAAGGAAATGCAGTTAAAGACAAATATGTCATTTAATATATGTACAATAAAATGTAACATGTCTTATCAACCAATATTAAAATTCTTTGGTTAATAGTGTAAAGATTTTTCATTGACGTACATGATAAGTGTAAGTTATGCATGATAAGTTAAGTTAATTTTCACAACATATGTTTAACAAAAAGTACACTTAATCATGGAACAAACAAAACAATTCCACTACAGTTGAGCTTATATTAATAAAAATGTTTTATAAAGACATAAGGAAAATGCATTTGAATCGAAATACATAATTATACCTTCTACAGCTAGGCACAAACATCCCTAAATAGTCGCAGTGGTTGTTTGAAAAGTTAAAAACTGAATTTAAAAAAATGGGAAACATAACAGTATCATTGATGTCTTTTTCTTAATTGATTACTGAATTCTTCCGATAGAAAGCAGCAACTTTTTAATTTAAGTGCTTTGATAGAATATGATAATCAATTGTATTATTTGAAGTCAGATGGTTTGCATGTTTTACTTTGGCTGTCACATTGTTCTCTGCTATCATCCCAAATAAGATTAGCGGGACACGTTCTATGATAGATAAAATTGTTTGAGCACGTAACGTAACCATGACAAGTGACGCATGACTGGTAATCCCCATCAGCGACTCCCCAGCAGCTGTCTACACATTCCCCGGTAGTGACGTTTAAACTGTTATTTAAACCTATAATACGAAAAAACACGTATCGATACCTTATTTTCTTGAGATTTTTTTCAGATTTTGTTTGGAGAGAAAGATTAAAAAATCAAATAGAAAGATTTGTGTTCATTTTAAATAAAACTGTCTGTTGAAATTAATAATAATATACATGTAATTGATAAGGATATGTTTATTTTGTACAATTAAATGCAGTAAATATGAACTATACCTCCGATTCTTGATTCAATGACTGCTATCAAATTGTTTTCAAAATCTCTGAATAATTCTTTCATCATGTTTTCTAGATGTGTTTTGGTTTGATTGGATTGTTCTTTTATTAAGTCCTTCACATGTGAATTCGACGTTTCAGTATGGTTAGATAAAGCTTTCACAGTTTTTGCAATGTCCTCCGAAGAAGTCTGTAATTGGCTAAATGATGTTTCCACCATGTTTTCTATTTCATTGATTGAAGAATTTGTTCGATGTAACATTGTTCCTATCACTTCTCCAATTTCTTTCAAAGAATTTTTTGTTTTATTTGATAATGAAAGGACGGTTGCTGACAAATTTGAATTCGCCACTAGAAACATATCGGTAATATTTATAATTACGCTTGTTTTTTCAAGTTCTTGTCGTTGATATTCAGTGAGTGTTTCCAGTGAATCGTCTTTGCCTACGATAAAGAAAAGTTGCAGTGATGTATTAATAAGAAATAGCATTTTACACATTCCTAATGAGCTTTAATTGTTTATATTTTCATATAATTTAAAAAGTCAGAAACTTGCTCCTGCAAAGAAAATTTGATTTTCGGAATCCCTATTCAACGCATGGAAAATTTAAACTTCAATCTCAAAATTAGATTTTTTAATGCATAAAATGAAGTCTTGTGAGAGTTAGATCGACGCAATTTCGAAAAGATCCACAAAACATTCTCAGAAAAGTCTCTTGCACAAGTATACATGACTTAAAATTTCTTAAATATTTTTTGAAAAGGTTTCTCAGAGAATATTTTTCGCCGAAATATGTTGAAAAATTGCCGACACGGTGTTTAGAAAAATATTAATCAGAATAGAATTTGTTAGATGAATTATGTAGGTTTGGAAATAAATTCAAGCACAAAGTTCCATTATATATATATAAAAAAAAACAAATCAGGAGCGGAGAAATCACAGACCTCTAAAACACCATACGTGGATTCAAGTACTATTGAGGAGTAAGCATCCCCAACCGACCTTCAAACCCGTCTTCTGTTCCTTGGAAAATAGGAAAAAAACATGTAGTTGTCTAGTATACTTTGCTGTTCATTCAAATATTGGACAACATTTGTGGTAAGATCTTTTGTGAGCATTAACAATAGCCATTTTACATGTCTGCAAACAAAGTTTTCTCAGGTCGAAGATGTTACATTTTTATCTATCAGCTTAATGGACAATTTAGAAAAGTAGTTGCTATTGAACTCTCATCTTCACCATAAATGATCACAAATAAGAATATTAAGTACATTTTTATCTCTTTCAACCGTTTTTTAAATCATGAAAATCTTTCAGAGAAGTCTAAGAGCACATTTTTATGAAACTTGTATGTTACACTAGACATTGCAATTTCTCGATTTATATCAGTTTTATTTTAAAAAAAAAGTTCCGGTTTTGACTTTTAATCATAGAACGGGTCAACCTAAACCACATATGTCGATTGATTAAAAATCGACATTAGTAGGAATGTGTTTTTATATTGGCGATTATTAGAATCAATCTGTGTTCTTAAATACTTGAACTGACATTTGATTTGGTTCACAAACACAAAAATCAAACAGAAAATGACAGAGAATTTTCCTGTTTTGATAATGGCGCTTCTTCTATTTTTTCCTATCATGTCAAATATCAAAATCCTGTAAAAAAAAAAAAAAAAAAAAAGCCCTAACAAGATAACATTTTTTGGACTATTCTAAAATTCTAACTGTACCTCAAGATAACTGACTGTAATGAAAAAAAAACTATTGAAATATATTTTCTTAAAATTATCTTTATGTATAACTTGCTAACCCTTTAAAGAACTGGTTTGGGTCTGAACATTTTTATTTAAGTCGTCCATTCTACTCTGATCATTGGCTAAGAATGTTAGCATAAGTGCTAGTCCTGCAATCACGACTACTGTGATGAATATCTTGAATATTCTGCATATCTTGTCCCCAAATCCCTGGCTTTTGTAAGTATCCTTCATATACATGTAATAAATAAAATAAAGATGCATAAAATCATCACGTGTTTTGCAAAATCAGAAAAAATAAAAACGACGTTCTAAAAAACGCACTGTGTTAGTTAGAAAAGAGCTGTCAGCTTCTCTTGAGTTATGGGTGGAAGTTGAATGCTGAAATTGTATAGAAAGTATTATAAGCATATTAATTAAAACATATAGCAAATGATTTATTGAGAACATATGTTTTAATTTCAGAAAATCAAAATTTAAATTTTGTGTGATATTAGACACTTAGAATTGAATTGCCAAGTCTTGAGGCATCCATAAAAAGAGGATAGAGGTGAGTGTCATGAAAAAAATTGACGAAATAAGAAAAAAATACGAAAAAAGTTCTAAATGACGTACTATGTTAGGATGTGTAGAGCTGTCTATTTCTGAGTAATTATGTGTGGAATTTGAATGCTGAAATTATATAAGCAGTCTTATACATGTAACCATATAGATCAAAATAAAAAATATATAGCAAATAATTTAACAAGAGAAATTTTATAGTTAAAAAATTCAAGAACAAAAGTCAGAAAGTACCATATATGGCCTATGAATTTTTTGACTAAAACTACCCATCCCTGCATTGACGAAAATGAGTAGATAGGGAAACCACGTATAGTTTTTAATGAAAACGATGATTTATTTTTAAAGAAATCCAAAGGTCATATATGGTACTTTCTGACTTTTGTTCTTTAAGCATTTTGTGTCATTAGAAACTTACAAATGAATGTCCTCTTCTAGAAGCACCCTAAAAAGAGGCATGATCAAATTAAGTGTCTTGACAAGTCTGTGTGTTAATAATGGCCTACTTTGTACAGATCAGTACGGAAAACCTTCCCTAACAAAAAAATACTATAGTTAACTATAGTTAACTATAGTTTACTATAGTTAACTATAGTAAATCAAAGTGTCAAAGTTTTTGTCAAAGTTTTTCAAAGTGTCAAAGTTTTCGTCAAAGTTTTTCAAAGTGTCAAAGTTTTCGCCAAAGTTTTTCAAAGTGTCAAAGTTTTCGCCAAAGTTTTTCAAAGTGTCAAAGTTTTCGCCAAAGTTTTTCAAAGTGTCAAAGTTTTCGCCAAAGTTTTTCAAAGTGTCAAAGTTTTCGCCAAAGTTTTTCAAAGTGTCAAAGTTTTCGCCAAAGTTTTTCAAAGTGTCAAAGTTTTCGTCAAAGTTTTTCAAAGTGTCAAAGTTTTCGTCAAAGTTTTTCAAAGTGTCAAAGTTATCACTATAGTAAATCAAAGTTTTCAAAGTGTCAAAGTTATAACTATAGTTAACTATTAGTAAACTATAGTTAACTATAGTTAGCTATAGTATTTTTTTGTTAGGGTTAGTCAGCATTTTACTTGATAATAAATTAATTTGTTGACAAGGTCATCGTATCGACAGAGAACCTACGACATTATGACCTTAAAGACCAAGTTTTTTTACCGTACGGTTACCTGAGGAGGGGGAGTGCTCGAAGTAACAATGGTGTTATTTACCGGGAGACCCCCAATACCCAAGATGTCAAAAATCTGTGTATACGTAGCATTACAAAGGAAGTCTGTGTTTGGTAATCGGGGTCATCATTACGTGTTTTGTGTCTGGTTTTGAGTGAAACTACGTAAAATAATTATTTTCATATGAAATTTATTTGTAAACTTAACGCATTCATCGTAATCATGGTAATTTTTTGAAGGAAAACAAATAATAAGATACATGTTTATCGTCTTACTGCTTTATTAACTTATTTGTCTATAACTTTACTCCTTTTAAAAACTTTCATACGTATAACATGCTTTTCTGTATCGAATCAACTGAAAGATACAAACGCCGTGTGCAGGTGACAAAATAATATATCTGGATAAGTAAGGGAAATAGACTATTGAAACGTAAAAGTCATGGCGGTTTTAATTAATCGTTGTTGTTCGATAATTATTGAGGTCTTTTCAAGTGAAATATCCAAGCATGAAACAGATGCTTCAATTTCCGTGATATCGTTTATTTCAAGCTCACTTAGATATTTCTATTGTTATATATTTTTAAAAAGTGAAATTGAATTTTAGTGTTATTAGAACATTTTAGAACCACACAATTGAAATTCTGTTTTCTCTCCACAAAATGAAAATCGATTTATAAAGATTTTCAGACTGTCATAGCAAAATTATCAATTAATAAGATTTTGAAACCTTTTTAACCCAAACTTATATATTGGAAATTTAACAAATTCCATTTTAGGTCATTATAAGATATGATTAAACTGGTATTTGACATTTTCAATTGGGTTCAAATAACAATAAAACAAAAAAATGTACACCTACACATCTTATCAATGTAAATATGAAAGTAAGTAAACTGTATTTGATTACTTACAGGGAACATATTTGGCCGTAACGGTGTTCGATTACGACCATCATTAACATCTGATAAAAAAGAAAACAACTTTAATACAAGATGTTGATATCTTGATTAATATTTTGATTAATACTAAAAGATTTTCAAAAAAATTTAAATAATTTAGTTCTTATCAATGGGATTTTCTTTACACACTTACTGTTGTCATAGATTGATTCACCAATGCCCTAAAAGTGTAAAATGTCACATGGATGTAAGTGTACAATAAATGCAGTATTTTTAAAATATAAATAAGATTTTAGCAAACCAACTTGAACTTCAATTAACTTATAGCTCGTCGCAAATTTTGTTAAGACGAAATTCTAAACTTAAAAATATCTACTTACATGAAAATAGATGGGTTCCAGTAAATGCAAACCTGAGTTCTCCTCATTTGTTATTATATCATGCAATCACATAATGTTTTTCTTAATTGCAATACGCTTACAGGTTTCAGGAGCCTAATATTTTTCGTCGATAAATAATTATTATTTATTGAGTTAAACATTATTTTTATGTTCGGGTTTTAATTAAAATACTGATGTGCAGCTTAAAAGTTGATCAGAAGATATAAATTGACTGGTAGATGTTAGCAATTGATTATCGTTTTTAAGAGATGAAAGCCCATTGTTTCAAATGAATGTAATGTTCAATCAAACTACGGCTAGTTACAAAGAGCATTCCCAGTTTGTAAAACACATTAATTTTGTGATTGGATCTTTTGTGTCATATGTACATTAGTTTGAGATTAAAGTGTGCACTTAAAAAAGTAAAACAGTGTATATTTTGTATTTGACCTATGTGATGAATTTGTTCTCTGTGCAAATGTATTACATGTTCTATATAATAGTAAATCAGAAGGTCGTCAGGACTAAAATTTTTAGCGTTTGAACTGTTAATTTCTTAAGTAAAAGGTGAGGGAGCTTTAGTTAGTATTAAATATAGGCCTTAATTTTCCTCAGTTTTTATTTCTTTCTTTTTTTGAAACTTTGATATTTTGTTCTAGAATAGGATGCATCTCTGTATAATTAATATCAAAGAAATTCAACCGGACATTTTTTGCTTACAAGATTTGAAATATGGCCTCTCAGACCCTTATAAAGATACAGTGAAATCAGACTCACCACATAAGAACATGCCTTCTTAGATAAAAGTTTATCGATTAATATTTATATAAAACATGTGCTATACTCACTTGTGGATTTTCTTGAATTCTTTCAATATGAATTGGCCTAAAGAGAAATACCCGATTATAAATCTATGCTAGAAAGTAAATTAATTGTTTTTGTTTGTGTGATATAAGTTACTGATAACGGCAGATGGAATGAAATTTTCATTCTACTGAACGTGAAAAAAAAAGCTTTTTAAATAATAGGATGGTAATTGCATAAAAAAAAATGTTTAATGATCTACATGTATTACATGTAAATGTGTATTACATGTATATGCCTGTTCAAAAGATTTACTTATCTGTATTTTCAATAATAGTCAAATCTCTATTAAAAAATTAAAATTTTTCTAAACAATCAAAGTTTTTTTTCAGTGGAAACGTAGATGTATAATAGAGTTTATCTTTTAAGATTCGTATAGTTTTTGTCCTGTTAGTCCGTCCGTCTGTTTATCTGTTTGTCCACAAAACCGTCAATTTTGCCCCTGAGCTTTTGAGGGGGTTTTATAGCTCTCATATTTCACAGGTGTATTCTTGTGATAAAACCTTTCTATGGGTACACCAAATTTGACCTCTTGACGTTGGAGTTTGACTCATTTTTACAATGTGATAAGACTTCTCAATTGGAATATCAAATATTTTTGATCTTGACCAAAGAGTTTTACCCAGTTTAAAAAACACTACCTCAGCCATGCATGTGACCTTTGAACAATTATTACTAGTTTTTTTCACCTATTTTCAAGGTTTATCCTTTATGACAGGACCTTCCTTTATATACCAAATATTTCTTTGATCTTGCCCTTTGTGTTTTGGTCTTCAGTGTTTAATAACGCATAAACATTAATACAGAATTTGTAACTTACCCTGCATGGGAATATCCACTTGAACCTTGTGATAAATTCGTTCTCTGTGCAAATAAATGACGTCCTTTTTAATCTGAAGGTCTTCAGGAACAAAATTTATTACTTTGAATTATTCATTATACATTTTTTACGAAAAGGGAGATGGCGTTTTAAAAAATTGAATATACTAACTATCTGCATTAGATTTTGATGATATTTAACACACACTAACATTTCTTTATAAATAAATTCTTTATTTATCTACTTTTTTCTTTTCCTTCATATTGAAAATACATTTCCAGATGAATTTGTTTGTAATGTTATATGGCCAGCATCGCATACATGTACACGCATTGATAAGCTGAAGCATATTTATGTAAGTTGTAAATTTTATTTTTCGTACCCCTGTAATAGAAAATTCGGGGTTTATATAGTCTTTCTTTCTGTGTGTCTATCTATTTCTAGTCCGCAGCATCTTTAGCCTTGCCAAAAACTTTTGTGTGGTTTGGACTCTGGCTTTCATGTTTCACATGTATATTTAATGTGACAAAATCCTTTCTTTCGGTACCAGAAAATTGACATTGACCTTGGTGTTATATTTTCGATCTTTTGGTCTTGACTTTAAAGGTTTTACCCACCTTTAAGATACTGTATCTTGAGCCAGTAATTTTGAACAGAAAATATTAAGATTTTTATATTTCAAAATTTCATTCCTTGTGCATGACAAGATGTTTCCTTGGATGACAACAATAATGATTTCTTGATCTTGGCCTTGGAGTGGTTTTTAAATTGTGTTTGAGAATCAATCCTTGCCAAAAGCTCGCATATGAGGGCATCAGTGTTTCATATACACATCTTGTTCTTTTAATTGACTCTTTGACTTCTTCGCTTGGCTGTGATTTTTTTTTAAAAGTCCACCACGTAAAAAGATTTATAAATGATAAACAAACGAATTTCATAACGTTAATTTTATTAATAACACAAACATATACTATGTTCTAAAATATGTATTTTAAGTATGAAAATTGGAATGACAAAATCTTATGCCTTTTATACATGTAATTAGACAAAGACAATATTCCTATATACATGTATACTGGGTATTTGAAAATTGTTCAATTTCATGGCAGGTGAAATAATTGCTGCCAAAATATTATTATTCAGACGCTTGTTCAGTTTACTTTAGAAAGTTGCACTGTGTTTATGATTGAATATTAACTATTTACCTTGAAAATCAATTTAATCATTTTCTTTAGCTTACAAGAATAACATGAATAAGAAATGTTTCCGTAATGGAAAACAGCTTTAGAACAAAAACCTGTTGCTTACGACGAAGCAGATATCGTCAATGTACTATTTGAGTAATTGATAAATAAAATATTACCCTTTTCTAAACAATGCGGATGATGACGAGATGAAGATTTTTTTTGTTGGTGGAATTAAAGGATTTCTATTTTTTGTGTGCAAGAATGGAATACAAATCCTTAAAGAAATAAAAAAAGAGTAAAGCTTACTTGTGAACCTGTTTGAAAATGTCCACGATTGTTGGTCTCTGACCTAAGGAATAATGTCAAACTTTTAGCATACAAAAAAGATATAGCACAATGTAAGAATCCTGAAACAACAATTTAGAACTGTGCTGCGAACCTCGTGAAATCTTGCAAATGATTAAATATACCTATATTTAATGTAGCTTTCATAAATAATGTACATTCAATGTTTTGTATGCACAATGACACTATGATCGATAATTATATACTATAGCTAGCACTAGCTGTAATATTAAACATCGTGTTAATTCATTTCTATAGATTTGATAACCAAAATTAATAGCTTTAGTGCGGGGAATTAAAATCGGAGCCCTTAACGTATGGCGTTTCCTTCAATGGCAAAGTAGATTCGCTTAAAAATGAGAAATTATCAGTTCATGTGCTCACCAACTGTTTTATCACCAAAAATATAAATAAATAAAATCTATAATTGTTTTTAGACATGCAAATAGTATGCATTAAAATTTTAAAAGTGCTTTTAAGGTAGGATTCTTCTCAGGTTTCTGACTAGATGAAACATTCAAAGTATATTTGCTTATATGTCTTATATATTGAGGTGTAAGGAATTTTAAAGACCATATTTTTCTTTCCTCACCACAATTGTAAAACTTTAAATAGAAATGGTAAACTGCATTTGAAAACTAGTTGGGACTATATTTTTGGCGGAATGGTGGCGTATGAAAATATCTTCTATAATAGGTAGTGTATTGTATATTTTGGTCATTTACACATGTGAATTGTTATTTTGTTTTCTTTTTTTCTTTTTTGTTTTTGTTCCTGATCTCCATTGAGTCTTCGGGTGGGGTCCCTCAAGCTTATTCACTTTCGGTCTTGGCGGTTTTTTAACCCCACCTTTGCAAATTTATTGTCATTTATTCAATTATTTTTGGTAAATCAATTGTTGACATTAATTTCATCATTTGATCAAATATATTTTATGATAAATTGAATAAATGACCTTTCTCACAAACAGAAGTTGTTCTGTCTTTCATTGCAAATGAACTCAGACTCACTGGAGAACATAACTGGTTGTTTCATGTTGACAAATACATGGTATTTTATGGAAACATGATATGGAATGAAATTTAAAGTTTTCAAGTTATTGGAAAAATTTGGGTGACAAAAAACCTATTTTATTGTAAATAAAAACATTTTTGGCAGCAAATTTTGTAATAAGATACTGTTGTTATAATTATATACTCATCATTGATAACATAAATGATTAAGATCTTTAGATTAGCCACCTGACATGTAGGTGGGGGGCATCATTTATTGTTGGCATCTGGTGAATAATTACATGTCAACAGATGGAATTTGCAACCTGGCATGGCAGGGACACTGTGTATGCAATAGCCATCTTGATTAATCCAAATGGCTAATTAGCCAACCAGATTGAAGGAACCTATACTGAAATCTTATCTTGGTAAGAGGTATCTCAATTATTCACTTTTTTGTTTTAAGAGCTGCTGGACGCACCTAAATCTTAACAAGAATTCAATTTACCCACCCACCATCACCCTAAAAATTTATTTATATAAAATCGGTTGTCATAAATTACAAACAAACTGTACATTTTGTTTCTGTCTTGTACATTTATTATTACTGTATATTATTACTTTATTTTTCCTCGACACAACTTAAATATAATGTTCTATTTTTAACCTGTGTCTAAAATTGTAATTTCATCATTCAACCCGTGTTTCAAATTACAATTGTATCACATTATTTTTCACTTATGTTATATGTTAGTACATGTTTTTCTGTTGTTGGGCGGTTTTTTAACCCCACCTTTGCAAATTTATTGTCATTTATTCAATTATTTTTGGTTAATCAATTGTTGACATTAATTTCATCATTTGATCAAATATATTTTATGATAAATTGAATAAATGACCTTTCTCACAAACAGAAGTTGTTCTGTCTTTCATTGCATATGAACTCAGACTCACTGGAGAACATAACTGGTTGTTTCATTTTGACAAATAAATGGTATTTTATGGAAACATGATATGGAATGAAATTTAAAGTTTTCAAGTTATTGGAAAAATTTGGGTGACAAAAAAAGTATTTTTTCTCTCTTAGTAAACGATCAAAACTTTTTGTTTTTTTTATCATTTTGTACAATTATAAGACTACTTTATTATTTGGGAAAATAAGAAAAAGTTAAATATAGGAAGCATATGAAAATAACTAATATATCCTAAAAAATTAAGAAAAACAGAGAAAATTCGAATTAGCCAATATCCAGTTAAGTTAAACTATTTATGTAAATTTGGTAATATCATGCTATAGACCCGATATAGTTATATGTTTTTATGCAAAAATAACAATCATTAAACTTTTGAAATAAGTAGGTATAACATGATTGGCAACAATTTTTTTTTTATTCTTAATGCTAAGGAAAAAGATAATGACCTTGATCTGAGCTTGCCTCTAATATAAAACGGTCAAATTTAATTTCACTGATACTATCACTCACTGATATTATCTTCTTGATATTGTGAAAATTTCATAAATTTTTAAATATTAGAAATATGAGAAGAATCCTACCTTAAGGAGATAAGTAAATGACCTTCTTATATATACTATTAACTATAATTATATAACTTTTTTTAATTTAGAACAACCATCAATTTTAGAAACCGTTTATTATTTTTTTAAGTAACTTACCTCTCCAATTCTATATATCCATTTGAACTCGAAATCTGCATAAAAAATGTCATATTAAAAAAAAATTAAATCTTATTCATACAAATGGTACAACCAAATTGAATTCAATAGTCAAATATCCGAATATTATGGAATATGGTATACATCGCACCCTCGAGGTTTGGATGGATAGTGCAATGATGCGATAAATTGTAACAATGAAGCTATATTGCAATAACGATGAAGTGATACTGCGATAACATGTAACAATGAATCGATGGCACGATGAAGCGATAACTTTGAAGCGATAGCACATTGAAGCATTAGCGCGATGAAGCGATGGTTCTTTAGTGATCCTGCTATAGTGCAATGAGGATGAAGCGATAGTATGATGAAGAAATGTTCACTTTCAAAATTTCATAGCTCATTTTATGTTCCCAATTGCGTCATTGTGATCGTGCTAACGCACCATCGCTTCATAATCATCGTGCCATTGCATTATCGCGCCACCGACCCTTAAGGAGATGTTCGATGATGCAATAGTAAATTTTATACCACGAAGTTCAATATCAAACCAACGAGTGTCGACGAAAGGGTCGATGGTGAGATTATACGATGGAGATTAACATCCTTCCTTTGTTTTACATGTACATGTAAGTATAACGTATATAGATTAAGTATTTGTATTTATTAACATTGTGATTTAACAATGGTTCTTGGTATAAATTCATCTTCTGTAAAGGAAAGAAGAAAAAACTTTTTTGAATTAAAGATTCACTTAAAAGCTAAGTGTAAACGATACATACCTCGCTTTCTGGGTAGTCTGGAAGTGGATCTGTCCCTATTAATAAAAACAATAAATTGTATCAATTATTTTGCGTGGTAAATAAGCTTCATTTACTTCCAAAATAGCTATATATACTTTTTAAAAGATATATTATAAAATCATTTTAAGATTAAATTGGCTTTTCAAACTCTCACAAAATCAAAGAAAATTAAGCTATTTATATTTCAAGAATACATTTTTTTCTGAATTTTCAATCATTTAAATCATTACTCGAGTAGGTTCCGTTTAATAGGCATGTGCATGCCTGTAAGAAAAAGGCTTCACATGATTACAAAACATAAGAAAGATAAAAATTCTAAATTCAATAAAAATTTCTATCGCGCAAACTTAGAGGAGCCATGCAGGATGACCCCCCGTTCTATGGCCTTTAGACACTAGAAGATTAAAACTAATCTTTATTCTAAATATTTCTCCCTTTTTAGAATGCACATTTTGTATTGATTTAATATATTATATTTTTCGAGATGATTTCAATTACCTACAAACTGTACAGAGGAACAGTGTTTTCTCTTGCTTATATAACGAAGCCCATGAGCCTTATAGGTCACCTGAGTATCACGTAACAACTTTCCGAAAATTGGATAATTATGATTCATGTTTTAAATCAGAAGCCATGAAATACACAATTTTGAAAGAGATTTCATTGTTCATAATAACTATACAGATACATGCTTACTTTGGTTACTTAATACCCAAACGTAGATCAGAGTAAATAGGAGAAAATGCATTTCCTATTACTAGTTGTGCACCAATTCCCACAGGAACCACTGACCCTGGTGCAATATAAAATTTTTGGAAATTTTATCATAAATCTTATTTCATCATAAATTCTTGATTAATACCAAAGTGCAGATTTCAAAGCATCAATTTATTTTCAGACTATGTATCCTCCCTCCAAGTACTCCTGACCCAAGGGCCCAGAAATTAACCATTTTGGAAAAGGCAGCTTTCTTCATCATACATATGTATTCAGATCATTGGCATAATACCAAGGAGTAGAAGAGATTTTCAAAGAATTAATGCATTTTCACTATTAAAAAACATTAGAATCCCACTTAAACACAATAAGCCCCGACCAAGGGAACCTGAAATTCACAAATCTCGAAGAGGCATCCTTCTTCATCATGACTATGTACATACATAAAGTTCATTGGGTTAATACTCAGCCGCTGAAAAGAAGATTTTAAAAGAATTCATGCATTTTCAGTCTATAATCAATGGAGCCCCACCAAAACACCAGTCTGAGAACCCCTATCCCCGGGACTGCGAAATTGTCAATTTTGGAAGAGGCAGCCTTATCTAACTAAACTATGTACTTGGCTTGTTTATATAATACCCAGGAGCAGAGAAGAAGAATTTCAAAGAAATAATTCATTTTCACTTTATAATCTACATAGCCCCGTCCTAGCATAAGAACCCTTGACCCTGGGGCCATGAAATTCACAATTTTTGAAGAAGCAGCCTTTTTCAATATAACTATGCACTTAGTTACTTTATTTAATAACATTAGCGAAGAAGAAGAATTTCAAAGAATTTATACATTTTCACTATATAAGCTATAGAGCAAAATCCCTGACCCTTGGGCCATGAAATTCACAATTTTGGAAAAGGCCTTATTCAACTTAACTATTTATCTGATTAGTTTATATGATACCCAGAAGTATAGGAAAATATTTTCAATGAAATAATACATTTTCACTATATAATTTATTTTGCCTTCCTTAGCAATAGAACTCCTGAGCCTGGAGCCTTGAAATTCGCAAATTTTGTAGAGGTTTCAATGCTTATTATAATCATATCAATAGTTTGACTGGTTTGAACATATTTTATTGCATAAATACTATACAAATGGTTTGAACACAAGTTCTAACAACTTACTAGGTTCTCACCATACAACTGTCAATATATATACATAGGGAAAATAAGTGAAAAGGAATATCGATGTACAAACATGTTTGTTAAATTGAAACATACATTTGTTACATTTGATAAATATATAACTATGTAGAGTGTAAGTGTTAGGCAGTAATAATTAATTAAATCTACCAGAATCTCTTATAAATTTATGAACTGACTGAAAAATATATTTATTGATTTCTACATTTTGTGACTCATCTCCCCGCAGAAGTAAATGACAATCAATAATGTTCAATTTGATATTTGGTTTCGTAAGACACAGTAAATCTCTGAGTAGCTTTCTCTAGCATATTGGTACTTATTGCAGACAAAGAAAAAATGATATGGGTCTTCTAGGGTACCACATGAACAGTTAGGACTCTCGATAATGTTTCTTCTATAAAGATCATAATTTAAAATGCAATTGTGTCGTAGTTTAGTATGTATGATATTTAGTCGTCTATTACCATGGGAGAAATAAGAAGGGGGTCTGCTGGTTTTTTTATGTATGTTATTTTTAAAACTGCTAAAAGATATGCTGTTTCTAGTGGTGATACTCAGACTGTTCCATTGGTTTATTGTATCAGGAACAAAAGATTTCTTGAATATTTTAAGTCTACATCTAGGAATAGTGTAGTCCTCTCTATTGCGTGTATCGTACTTTGATTCATTACGTCTTGTTGCTGGAAAAATACTTTTTAAATAATCGGGTACTAAGTTGTGATGTACTTTGTACATAGTATCTAGCTTTGCTACTTTTCGCCTATCTGCAAGAGGTTCCCATCCTGTTTCTAAATATAATGCATCTCTTGAAGCGATAATCGGTAACCCTGTAATAATTCTTGCAGCATAAAGCTGCACCATTTCTAATCGTTCAACATCTTGTAAAGAACACCCGTCCCAAACTATAGAACAATATTCAAGTAGCGGTCTAAAAATGCAATGTACATTTTAGATAAAGTTTTTCTACCGATATTCAGCTTTTTTAAAAGACCTAATCTTTGGTAAGCCTGTTTAACTATATTAATTGTCTATATGATCAGACCAATTAAGATTTTTGCTCAAAAGTAAACCAAAATGCTTATGAGAGGTTATGTATTCTAGATTACATAGTTGAAATTGTAATTTTGGGAGATAATAATTGGATTTTAATGTAAAAAATAACGCTTTCGTTTTAGATGGGTTAAATTTCATAAGCCATTTGGAAGACCACTTGTCCAGAATATCTAAATCATGATTTAAAGTATATTCAATAGTTGCAACATTATAAGAGGAACTTTGCAATGAGTTGTCATCTGCAAACAATCTACACAATGAAATCATGTTTTCTGATACATCATTCACATAAATCAAAAAAAAAGTAAAGGACCAAGAACAGATCCTTGTGGTACACCAGAGTTAATGTTTCTGTTAGACGAAAAAATATCTTTGTACATAACTTTCTGTCTTCTATTACATAGGTAACTCTCTATCCAGGTAAGAATATTTCCACATAATCCATAAGTTTTTAATTTGAAAAGTAAACCATTATGCCAAACTCTGTCGAAAGCTTTAGACAGATCACAAAATACCATGCAACAACATTTTCCTTCGTCTATATTCTTAATTATAGTGTGATAGGTTTCAAGTAGTTGGTAAACGGTTTAGTGACATTTGTACAATTGAAATTGTAAATGAAAATTATAGAATAAATTATTCTGATGAAAGTAATTGTACTCATGTTTAAAAACAATTCGTTCCATAATTTTGCTAACACAGCTCAACAATGATACCAGTCTATAATTAGTAGTACTGAAGGATCATCTTTTTTAAACAAAAAATAGTTTGACTGCTTGATGTCCAGGAGTAAAAAGACTTTTAAAGATTGTACTTATTGTATTAGTTTTGGCCCCTCTCCCAGGCTCCAGGGAGGCAGAGACCGTGGAATACACAAATTTTGTTTCCCCTACCCATAGATTCTTTGTGCCAAATTTGGTTGAATTTTAGAAAAGAAGCTGAAAATGTTCAAATGTTAACGAACGACACACAACGACGAACAAAAACGGATAGAACAGGGCACCTGAGTTTATTCAGGTGACCTAAAAATAATGACTGAGAACAACATACTCGTAATCGACGCTGAACCTACCTTCAAAAGAGCCTGTCTGTCTAATTGAGGACATCCTTGATATCGAATATGCCTAAAATTGTGCAAATAAATACATATTAAAAATGCTGGTAATATACTGAAAGCATCAAAATACTACAACAAAAATTAGTTAACATTTTTTTATTCTGAATTTAAAAGAATCTATTACTCTCTCTCTCTCACTCTT